AAAAAAAAAAAAAAGGTAGCCCACAATTACCAATACTCAGTGCAAGTTATTCCCCTGAAAAAAAGAAATGTTTGTCTTGGTAATCTTCAATCAAAGTCTGACCATTGCTTTTGAACTAGTGGCCTTCTACAGTATGTTGATGTCAGTTTAATGGATTAACACAATATTCTTACCCAGCCCTTCTTACTGTTAGTTTGCTATGTGGGAATGATGCACAAAAAGCCCTTCACCCCCACTCAATATTCTGTTTGAGTTGGAAGTGAATCAACATACTAAATTAAATGTCTCTGCAACTTTAGTTCAAGTGGACTTTAAATCTTGTATACAAGACAAAATATATTTAATTTTGTCATGTAGCACAAGCTAATGCATTTAAAAGGTATGTTAACGACAGAGAGAGTGAGCAAAAGAAAAAGTGCAATTTAGAAAGAGCAAGCACACAACATCTGCCGTGTAAACAATATAAAACTATTGCAAATATCATGTCATCAAACTACTGATCAAAATGTGCTTAAACACACAATATGAACATGACACTAAAATGCTTACTGACCAAAAAAACCTAGTGGAGGAAAAATGTAAACTTTCCAGTCATAAACTAAAATAAATGAATGACTATAATCAACAGTGATTAAGGATGCTATATAAATATGCAGAAAAATAAACACTGTGAACAAACGAACTACAGGAATGGGGAAAAGGATGGTCTAGCTGTAAGATACAGTGAGGAAATTGGAATTGACCATCAAGATCTGCAGTGTAAATGCAGCCTTAGAGGCACAAATGGGGGTGTCCCATTCTCCCTCTCTGGATCCATCCCATAATAATTCCTTCCAAATGAGCAAAGATGGCATACATAAATGCAGTTGTATAACACATACACAGAGCTCTCCCTTTCTCTTTCTGACTGCCCTTGCTGGTTTTTATCATCAGACAGCTGATTTATATTCCTCTTGGCCAATCAAGAAAAGCAGCGCTGGTGGTGCAGGAGTGTATTTTTAACGGTGAACACAGCCTGTAAAGTAGGAAACTGCTGAGCAAACAGATGCATTGAACTGTGGGTCCGATCAGTCATTAGTCCACCCTCAATAAAACTGTCTTAAAGAGAAGATAAGAGCTCCTCTTTCTCTCAGCATCTGCACTCCATTGTTTTCTCACAATCTGAGGCGAGAGCACATTTTAGATGCTTGTGATTTAGACTGTAAAGGTAATAAATTAGCTGTTCATTTCTATATGCAAGTAGTTCACTGAAATGATTTACATAAATATTTGCAGGGTAAAAAAAATATATAGTTAGCATTAATCATATGCAAATATATGTATTCATACATATTCAAATATGAGAGGATGTGAAGATATCACCTCTTTGGAAAATCCTATGATCATCTACAAAGCTACCTGTCATCATATCTGTTCAAATCTTTAATAGGATTAGGTTCATTTTTAAGAGAAGGGAGTCAATACTGAGAACCAATTTCCTACCATCATCCCAATTAAGATCCCCTCTATTTATACAAGTACAGTGACATTACCTTCCAGATAAAGTTACACCACAGATGTTTCTTTGATTATATTATTTTTTACAATGTTTTACAATTATTATTTTTATTGATTATATTATTATTATTACTTTTCCCAGGAATCCATTGCGGCTGGAAGGGCATCAGCTGTGTAAAACATATGCCGGAATAAGTGGAGGTTCCTCCCTCTGTGGCGACTACTAATAAATAAGGCAGTAAGCTGAAGGAAAATAAATTTCTTAACATTGTCTGTAAGTTATGAAATTGTGGAAAGTTCACAGAATGTTCAAATAGTCCAGCTTTTAGATTTTTTATTAATGTTATTTTGTGGTTTTGGGTTGATAAATAAGTGACTAAGGCGAAAGAAAATTAAATAATGAATGAATTATTATTACTTTGATAAGTGTTTGATAAGTATATATATAAAAAATGTTGTATATTGTTGATTATTTGAAAAAACAAATCCATAAGTTCAACATAGATACATTTTACAGTGAATGTTTAATAGAAAATCACAGAATGGCGCATTTGACTTAGATGCTCAGATTAAGCTAAAAGATGCCTTTAGATGTCTGTGTTCTGTTTCATCTCAGAGGCTATGATGCATGCACAAAACACCACAAATTCTGTTTCACATTTTTAAAAACATTTATTTATTAAATTTTTTTTTTCGGCTTAGTCACATTATTAATCTGGGGTCACCCTGGGGTTGCCCTTCAAGCTGCAACCCATCACTGGGAAACATCCATACACATTCATTCACACACAGAGGTGCGACGGCTTAGGGCTATGCGTCAACACGTAGGCTGCACCGTAGCATATGCATGCGCTTAACGCAGATGTACAAATCACCCTATACACTACGAACAATTTAGCTTACCCAAGTCACCTTTACTGCATGTCTTTGGACTTGTGGGGGAAATTGGAGCACGCGGAAAAAACCCACGCAAACACAGGGAAAACATGCAAACTCCACACAGAAATGCCAACTGACCCAGCCGAGGCTGAACGAGCGATCTTCTTGCTGTGAGGCAAATGTGCTACCCACTGTGCCACCATGCAGCCACTTTTAAAAACATAGTCTAATACACTTCAATAAATCAAGCACTGTCTTTTTTTCTTTTTTAAAATTAATTGCACAGTCCTAACAACAGTTATAGTAGCTTTGTTTTAAGTATACAGAGATATTTTACCCCTCATCTTGAATGTGGAAGAAATTCTCATAAAAATTTGGTGTCATTTTACCATTGCTTGACTATGTTGATGTTCTATATATGAATGCCTTAACCAAATGTCTATTAAACTCTGTTAATGGCGCTTTGAGGTTTGTTACAGGTTGTCGTAGACTAACTTATTATTGTGAACTGTATGCCAAAGCAGTGGCCTTCTCTGAATGTAAGAAGGTAAATCTACTGGATAACTCTGGTCTACAAGGCTCTGGGTCTGGCGCCTTTATACCTATGTTCCCTTCTTCATAAGTCAAAAAGCCACTATGTAAAAACGTATGATTTCTCTGTTCCCTGGCTTTGAACTGAAATAGGGAAGCAAGCCTTTGGTCATGCCACCCCCCTCATCCTGGTATAGTCTTCAGTCTGAACTAAAAATGTCTGAGCTCATCCCAATTCAATCATTTTGCTCTATTCCCTATTTCTTTGCCATGATGAAAGTAAATAATATTTTACTAGATATTTTTCAAGACACTTCAACACAGCTTAAAGTGACATTTAAAGGCTTAGTTAGGTTAATTAGGCTAACTAGGCAGGTTAGAGTAATTAGGCAAGTTATTGTATAACGATGATTTGGTAACACTTTACTATAAGGTTCATTAGTTAATATATTTACTAACATGAACTAATTATGAACAACACTTGTACAGCATTTATTAATCTAAACTAAACATTTACTAATGCATTATTAACATCCAAGTCTGTGCTTGTTAACATTAGTTAATGCACCGTGAGTTAACATGAACTAACAATGAACTGTATTTTCATTAACTAAAGTTTACTAACATGAACAAATACTGTAGTAAATGTATTGTTCATTGTTTGTTCTTGTTAGTAAATGCATTAATTGACATTACTTAATGAACCTTATTGTAAAGTGTGACTCATGGTTTGTTCTGTAGACTATCGAAAAAATATATAGCTTAAAGGGGCTAATAATTTTGACCTTAAAATAGTTAAAAAAAAAAAAAATGCTTTTATTCTAGCCGAAATAAAACAAACAAGACTTTCTCCAGAATAAAAAATATTATCAGACATACTGTGAAAATTTCTTTGCTCTGTTAAACATCATTTGGGAAATATTTTAAAAAGAAAATAACATGTTTAATGGGTATTTAATAATTCTGATTTCAACTGTAAGTGTTTTTAACATATTGTAATGTGGTATAGTTGAATATCTAACTGTATTTTTATCTATACTTTTTATTTATTTATTTTCATAAGTTGTGTGTTGCGGACCTCTTGGTACCTTTGTAAATGAGATCTTGATCTCAATGTTTTTTTTTTAATCTGGTTAAATAAATATATATACTAAACAATACTGATCTGCAGTCAATAGATCAGAGCATCTATAATCAATTTAAGTCATCCAACTGTTAAAACATACTCAAATTGCAACAACCCAATTCATAAAATCCTAAAGGAAACTGTATTAAACTGGCTCATTTTTGCTCTTACGGCAGGATAACCTGATAATACTGCAGGTGTGATGAACTATTTCCAGAAATACTTTATAGGTCCCGAAAAAAAAATCTGGTTAAAAGCAACAAACACAGAGGCGTATGTTAAAGCTTTCAGGTGGAACCTGCTCAACCCCCATTTTGTCCTGAAATTGACAAGGATTAATGGATAAAAAGGGCTGATTTAATTACTCCTGATCCCTCCGATGTCAATAAGACTGAAGTCAATTTGAGCAAAGATCTGTTACACACTGAACTCGGTTGCACTATTCCATCCATTTCTTTTAAACCCAGCAATCCTTGCTTTATTAGATGGAAAACTTTTAAACCTCACAGTTCTACGAGAGATTAAATCTCAGCACTTCTACACTTCCACTTAACAAAAAAAGCTATGATTTTCTGTGTTCCCATCATGCACTACTGTGTGTATCATAGAGCGAGACTGATTTGTGGCTAGGCGAGGTGTAGTGTGATACTGCCTCTTATCTTTCAGACGCACAAATGACTCTCGGAGCAGGCTGTTATTGAACACACCGAGCAGGGGCTTTCATATATGGAAAAAAAGAAATGTGAGTAAATCCTGAGGAACAGGTGGCAGATCTGCTGCAGGTGTGTGGAACAGCACGGGGAAACCCGTGAGGAGTTAAGCTGCACTTGACTGGGCTTTATTTATCAATTTGGTGTTTTTACAAGGAGGGAACAGGTGAAATTGGGCATGCATTGTCTTTTATGATTTGGTGTATTTTTTTTTTTTGTCATGCTCTTTGGTATATAAGACGTGCTTTAGTACTTACTGCGCTAGTTGTGCCATCAGTGTCTGTTAGTCGCTGATGTAGGTCAAACCAAACTGTCTGCAACAAAACCAGAACAGAAAAGCCACTAGTGAATTCACTGCCCCCCTGAACTGCCCCTTGATGATCAATCACAAAACATGTGTACCTGACTTTAACAAGAAAGACTGAGATTACAAACATAATATATGTGTTTGTATTAAGTAGTCATTAAAAATCATTTGAACAAGTTCATACAAGCTTAGTTTTTATTTTTAAAAGTATGTAAAATGACCGTCATTTAGCGTGGATCAATAATGCATGTGTAACAATAATGTCAATTATTTATCATATTTGTATTTAAATCACTCACATAAACTGTGTGTATGGGATCAGAAATAGCCCTTATCTTCTTATTCACGGGTGCTTATTTACTGTGTGCTTTCAGTTTGATTAGAGCTACACTATAACAACTTCTGATGTTAAAAATATAACTCTGAAGTTCAACAATGTGGCTTTTCATCAACATTTTATGTTGTGAATGACAGGACAAAAGAAAAAAAAATCTATGAGATTTCCTTTTTTTGTTGTTATTGTACAGATTAATTTTTTTAGAGTGCAGGCCGACAAAAAAATCATATGGTATTTATAGGTTGCAATGTTAACAAAATGGCCATTTTTGCTATTCAAATAAGCATTACATACACTAGATGTTCAGGTGTTGTAAGCTACATATAAGAACTATTTTTTTTTTTTACGTTGCCAGTCAGTGTCAGCAATTTTTATGATTTGCATTAACATTTCATCTGATAACATTAGGCTGTTTTATTTTGGTTATTTATTTAGAAAGGCAACTGTACTATCACCCACTGCTTTTTAAGAGTAAAAGCCATGGATTGTCTAAAAATTATGCCAAAGGCAAGTAGATGTCAGAAATTATAGAAAACTGCAGGCAATGGGGGGTGAAGCACTGGCACAGTAGGTAGTGCTGTCGTCTCATAGCAAGAAGGCTGCTGGTTCAAGCCTCGGCGTTTCTGTGTGGAGTTTGCATGTTCTCCCGTGTTTGCATGGGTTTCCTCCGGGTGCTCCGCTTTCGCCCACAAGTCCAAAGACATGTGGTACAGGTGAATTGGGTAGGCTTAATTGTCTGTAGTGTATGAGTGTGAATGATTGTGTATGGATGTTTCCCAGAGATGGGTTGCAGCTGGAAGGGCATCCGCTGCGTAAAACATGAGCTGCATAAGTTGGCGGTTCATTCCCCTGTGGCGAACCCGGATAAATAAAGGAACTAAGCTGAGAAAAAAAATTAATGAATGAATGCAAGCGATGGAAAAGAAACAAAAAAAGTATATTGTGTAGTGTAATGTTGTCACAGAAAATAAAATATGGAATCATTTATTGTTGTGTTTGATTTTTCCTAAATATTGCTTTGTTAACAGTGACTGTCACTGTGGATTATTTTTAAATACAGTAATATTTATAGTTGAAGTCGAATTTATGAGCACTCCTGTGAATATGTTTTTGCTTTTTAAATATTTCCCAAATTATGCTTAACAGTTCAAGGAATTTTTCACAGTATTTCCGATAATATGTTTTTTTCTTCTGGAGAAAGTCTGGTTCTGCTAGAAGACAAGCAGTGTTTTATTTCCACAAAACAATTTTTAGGTCAAAATTATTAGCCCCATAAGCATTTTTTTTTTTTTTGATTGTCTACAGAACAAACTATCATTACACACTGATTTGCCTAATTACCCTAATCTACCTAATTAACTTAGTTAAGCCTTTAAATGTCACTTTAAGCTGAAACTTTAAGCTACCTTGAAACATACAGTATCTAATAAAAAATTCAGCAATAGTCACATCACAGGATCTTCAATGTTGAGTTGGGATTATAGTTGACTATAATCAATGCAGAGTTAAATTACTGAATAATGGAGTAGAAATGGTAGTACACCCAAAATTGTTTACTTTGCTCACTATTTTCAAACATTTATGAGTTTCTTTTTTATGATGAACACAAAAAGAAGATATTTTCATTACGCATAAACATTTGAAACAAGTGAAGCATGGGTAAATAGTGAGTGAATTTTCATTTTTGGGTGAACTATCCTTTTAAGGCCTGTGACTGTGTGAACATCTCAGCATTTCAGAGTTTAAACATCCGGCCACCAGAAATTATAATGTTTGTAACTTTAATAAAGATTACATTACATACAATAAAGACTGCAGTGTTGATTGTTCGACATCTGTACCTGAAAACTGTTAAATTCTTCTGAAAACTGTAATTCACTTTTATCTTTGTTATATTTTATTTATCTATGCCTGTAATTTATTTGGCATATATTAAGATTCTATTCCCAAAAAAATCACCCCAATTGATCTAAGATGAAGAATTCTTTCAAAATAAAGCTGTATTCGCGTCACAATATTTATCTCAGAAATACAAAATATCGCAATGTCAGATTTTCCCAATATTATGCAGCCCTACAGGGGGGCTAATCATTTTGACAGTGTTAATATTTCTAGATTAACTAATATTTCTAGATTAACTAATTGACATGATTTTCATTAAATACAAAAAAACTTTCAAAAAAAATTTGTACAAAAAACTATTTAAAACTATTAATTCTCAACTAATTAATTTTAAACTATTTCAAAATGCTGCTATTTCGAGTCACTTTATTTTGATGGTCGGTTTGTTGAATTTAAGTTACATTGCAACAAATTCTCATTAGATTATAAGTAGACTGTTAGGTTGGGGTTAGGGTCAGTGTAAGTTGACATGTACTTACAAAGTTTCGGTTTCTGTCTGCTTAATGAGCAGTATTAACAGATATTAAGCAGACAGTCTACTAATACTCAAATGGACCATCAAAATAAACTGTTACTCTATTTTTTTTTTTTTTACATGTAATTACAGGTGCATTTGTATGATTAATTCTCAAATAATCAAGAATCTGAGCAGTGAGAGAAAGTAAGCAGGTATTATATTCCTTCCTCCCTGTAGAGGTTATATATTAAGTTATGTTTGGTAATGACATGCAAATAATAAAAAAAAACAAAGAAACACAGAGACCCAGAACAATATATATTCAAAATATTCTCACTACATTCCAAAAATAGTGACTTTATGAATTCATAAGGATTTCACAGCGGTCCAGACTTAACATCCTCGCAATGCCTGAATCATTATCCGCTTCATAAAATGAGTGCCGCTGGTCTCTCCCGCCACTCCATCCATATGAACAGGGATCGTGCGGAATATTCTCTGCCATCATGGAATGACAGAGTACATAATGGCCGGTAATGATGCCACAAATTTGTGCAGCTGTCTCTCTCTCACTGAGGAAAATGACGGCGGGTTATCCATCAAAAATAATAGCAAGAATGACAACCGCTGCTCTGTGGAGTATGAATACTGCAGGGAAGGCATGAGCGTTTGTCTCCACAGCGATTGGGGCATTTCAGGGTGCCACGACTGGATGGAAAAGGAAATGATGCGTTTCCTAGAGCACATTATGCAGACAACAAGAGCACTCTGATCACTCATTCTGCTCTGAGCCAAAGCGGGTCACTAAAGTCAGGCTTGCGGTTTGCTGAAGCGAGGAACGGGACAAGAGAGACACACGGCTGTGTTGGACATTTCAATTAAAGCGAAGTGCTTAAGGATGGATGTTTAAAGGAGCCCGTGTTCAATCCTACATTGAGCCAGGTGTGCTGTATTGATTAAGCATGGCAGATCTCACAGTGGACTGAACAGAGGGAGTTTGAGATGGGAACTGCACACAAAATGTCACTAATTTGGGAACGCTGAAGGCAAGGCAAACTATTGCAATTGCAAAAGGTTGCGTGGTTTACAGGGGTAGATAGGAAAAAAAAAACATTTCAATATGTTGCGTGGTTTTACGTCATGATACTGTATTGATATTCTCATGGCAATGTTACTGTTATTATTATTTTTTGGAAAAATATTACCCTGAACCACAAATCCAGTCTCAAGTTGCAGTATTTGACGGAATAGTCAAAAAATGTATAGTATTAGTCAAAATTATTTTTATTTCATTATATATATATATATATATATATATATATATATACAGTATATATAGGCTACACACACACACACACAAACATTATTATTAGCCCCCTTCAAATTTTTTTCTTCTTTTTTAAATATTTCCCAAATGATTTTCAAATATTTTTTCTTCTGGAGAAAGTCTTATTTGTTTTATTTCGGCTAGAATAAAAGCAGTTTTACATTTTTTAAACACCATTTTAGGGACAAAATTATTAGCCCCTTTAAGCTATTTTTTTGTTTCTTGATGATTTACAGAACAAACCATCATTATACAATAACTTGCCTAATTACCCTAACCTGCCTAGTTAACCTAATTAACCTAGTTAAGCCTTTAAATGTCACTTTAATCTGTATAGAATTGTCTTGAAAAATATCCAGTAAAATATTATTTACTGTCATTATGGCAAAGATAAAATAAATCAGTTATTACAGATAAGTTATTAAAACTATTATGTTTAGAAATGTGTTGAAAACAGTCTGCTCTTTGTTAAACATAAATTGGGGAAAAAATAAACAAGCGGTCTAATTCTAATTCATGGGGGCTAATAATTCTGACCTCAACTGTGTGTGTGTATATATATATATAGGACATTTTCACAGTATGTCTAATAATATTTTTTTCTTCTGGAGAAAGTTTCATTTGTTTTATTTCGGCTAGAATAAAAACAGTTTTTAATTTTTTAAAAACCAATTTTGGGAAAAAATTATTAGCCCCTTTAAGCAATTTTTTTTTTCGATAGTCTACAGAACAAACCATTAATATAAAATAATTTGCCTAATTACCCTAACCTGCCTAGTTCAACTTATTAACCAAGGTAAACCTTTAAATGTCAATTTAAGCTGTATAGAAGAGTCTTGAAAAAATATTTAGTAAAATATTAATTACTGTCATCATGACAAAGATAAAATAAATCAGTTATTAGAAATAGATTTTAAAAACTGATAACACTTTACAATAAGGTTCATTAGTTAATGCATTTACTAACATGAATTAATCATGAACAACACATGTACAGCATTTATTAATCATAATTAAACATTTACTAATGCATTATTAGCATCCAACTCCATGCTTGTTAACATTAGTAAATGCACCATGAGTTAACATGAACTAACAATGAACTACTGTTTTTTCATTAACGTAAACTAACATGAACAAATACAGTAGTAAATGTATTGTTCATTGTTTGTTCATGTTAGTAAATGCGTTAATTAACATTAACTAATGAACCTTATTGTAAAGTGTGACCTTAAAACTATTATGCTTAGAAATGTGCTGAAACAATCTTCCCTCCATTAAACAGAAATTGGGGGAAAAAAAATTAACAGGGGCGCTAATAATTTAGGGGGGCTAATAATTCTGACGTCAACTGTATATATATAAAATTAATTCTTAAATTAAAAATTAAAAAATGGGGGACGCCGACGCACGATATCTGGGGGTGGGGGACGCACGATATCTGGGAGATTATCACTCGTTTGTGGGCATCCGGAAGTCTCTGTGCATTTGCAGGAGACTGCCGAAACTTCCAGGAGACTTGGGATGTCTAGAATGACCTGCCACCCTACTCATAATTCTCTCTTCATATAGCCGTTTGCCTATTACATATCCATAAAACACTGTGATATAACCGGGCTCGGATCGTATCGCTTTCTCACTACAATCAATCCTTGTGGAGGTGCACATTAATGTATTTGATCTTCAGTGATTGGGCTTTCAGCAGTAAAATTGAATCTACACTAAACTAAACTAAACTAAACTCAACTTCAGCTCTAAAAACTTGACTGATGGAGAAACATGGACTGATGTTAAAGGTGCAGTATGTAAGTTTGACACCCAGTGGTTGAACTAGGTATTGCATTTCTGGATCAAAACAAACGCAAGCACGGGTTGCCAGATTGACGACCAACAGGAGTGAATCTGACTATCAAACCTAAAGACTGATTTAAATCGTGTTCTAACTAAAAGCAACGAAACGCATGACAATGATTACCTCAGGTATACCTTGTGTGCTTTATTCTGTGTTAAATACTAACAATGGGAGTTTAAATTAAAATTTACATGACATTTATTGCCTTATTACTGAAAGCAGCAGCAGAATTATTGCAAGCCAACACATATCAGTGATTCAGCATCTACATTTAATAAAGTTAAAGAGGTTTAATATGTATTATTAGATTATAAATTTTACCATTTTGTACGTGCATATTCTGTGCTTCTGAATGGCTGTATTTAAATTTCTGTCGTGATGCATCTGGTGCAAACAGCTAAATTGCTTGTCACTACAAATGTCATCACATAGCGTGTTCTTAGGACACAGGATTACAATGTAACCTGCTCACCTAATATTTATGTTCACCTAATATTTTTGCTAATTAATAACCTCATGTGGAACTCTGAATCTGCGTCTCATTTCGGAGTCTGCTACTGTCCACCGAAGGTGGCATTTTAATCATGGGCGCATGCTTTACGAGCATTTCTGAATGACTGAATGAATGAAATATGCTGTTATCCACTAAGGCAACCTGGGGTGCTAAAATACAATTGGCTACACTGACACTGGGTGGGTTAAAAGAACCAAAACAAAGACAAAGCGTTCCAGCACGTAATGCTCATTTTCAAAGCAGAATAGCAGACTTCAGCATTGTTTTTCAGATGAACAATAATGTCCTCTTGACATGTTTCTAAATATCTGCAAACCTATTATGGTACTTTTATGCTTTAGAAGAGTCAAACACTTACATAGAGCACATTTAAGCTGCTTTGAATATAGTATACATTGTAAAAGCACTATAGAAATAAAGATGAATTGAACTGAATCAATTCACAGTAAAACCAAATTTTTTTCTATATTTTACATTTTTTAAATATGTATTATAATACGCAATTAATCCATGTAATGCAAAGGTGAATTTTCAGCAGTCATTACTGGTCTTCAGTGTCACATGAACCTTCAGGAATCATTGCAACGTCCTTATTTTCATGCCTAATATAATTTTTTTTACTACTATCATTTTTTAGGATTCTTTAAATACAGAAAGTTTTCTTTAGAAGAATAGCCTTTACTTGAAATAAAATGATTTTAAAACATTACAAATTAATTCCTGACCCACTTAAAAGGTCTAAAAGCATAGTAACGTGTTAATAAAAGCTACATTTTCCATTCTCCATTCATTTTCCATGCAAGCTCAACAGAATATTTTTTCTTTCTGTCATAAAACAGGTGTTTGTCCATGAATCCCTGTTAATCTGTGTCTCTGGCCTGACAACAAACATCTCCAAGCACCACAGAAATCTCTGCTGCTCAACCCAGATTTCCTCTCCTTCATCCCGGCTCACCATGACATGTCAGAACCTTCCCTCCACCGAGACATGAACAGACCAGTTGGGTTGCTTTGGCTATTCTTAGCTCCAGCAATAAGAACCTGCCTGCCAAGGACTCCAGTATTAACTAGGGACTCTATTAGACCACTGTGCTCAGTTGTGTATAAAATGACTGAGAGAAAGATAGAGAGATGGTGAAATAATGCTTAACCAATAAAAAAAAGTTACATAAGTGTTGAGTGAAAGCAATCGAAGTGTAAAAGCTCCCATTAACTAGTGCAGTGCTGTGGTTGTCAAGTCTGTTTAATTGCTTCCTTTGTTTCATTCCCCGAGCAACGAGAGTAATAACTATAGGAAGAAAAGATTACTGCCTGTGTTGAATGCAATCTGAATCTCATCACAGGCCTTCATATGAACGTGTGTAATTATCAGTGCGTGCATGAGTGGATCTACGTGTAATAGTAACAGAAATTACAGAGCTGTCTTTTAGGTACAGTAATTGACCAATGGATTTTGAAATGAGAAAGTTCTCTCTCTAGATTTGCGTTTTAGACTAAAGTAAATTCATTAAAGTGGTATTGGATATTTGCAGATTACATGTATGCAATACTGTTAAAACTAATGGGGTCTGTAATATTTTTCCTATGATTCTGAAAGGCAGCATTTATTTGATTAAAATTAGATAAAATATTAATTAGTATGTTTTAAATATATAATATTACAATATACAGTTAGGTCCATAAATATTTGGACATCGACACAATTCTAACATTTTTGGCTCTATGCACCAACACAATGGATTTGAAATGAAATGAACAAGATGTGCTTTAACTGCAGACTGTCAGCTTTTTTTGAGGGTATTTACATAAAAAATCAGGTGAACGGAAATAAAACGTTTGCATATGTGCCTCCCACTTGTTAAGGGACCAAAATTAATAGGACAGATGATAAAAATAAATCAAACTTTTACTTTTTAATACTTGGTTACAAATCCTTTGCAGTCAATTACAGCCCGAAGTCTGAAACGCATAGACATCACTAGATGCTTTGTTTTATCCCTGGTGATGCTCTGTCAAGCCTCTACTGCAACTGTCTTCAGTTTCTTCTTATTCTTGGGGCATTTTCCCCTCAGTTTTGTCTTCAGCAAGTTAAATGCAAGCTTAATCAGATTCAACTCAGGTGATTGACTTGGCCATTGCATAACATTCCACTTCTTTCCATTCACAAACTCTTTGGTTACTTTTGCAGCTTTAATCTGACTTTCTTGTTTTTGAGGCTCACCAATGGTTTACATCTTTTGGTGAACCTTCTTTATTTAATCTGGTGTAGCCTGACTCTGAAACACATACAACTACCTCCTGGAAAGTGTTCTATCTTGCCAACTGTTGTGAAGGGTGTTTTCTTCACCAGGGAAACAATTTGTGGGTTTTATTTTTGCCATGCCTAATGTTTTTGCTGTCTCTCTGATGGGTTTGCTTTGTTTTTTCAGCTCAATGATGGCTTGCTTGACTGATAGTGACAGCTCTTTGGATCTCATCTTGAGAGATGACAGCAACTGATTCCAAATGTAAATAGCACACTTAAAATGAACTCTAGACCTTTTATGTGCTCATTGTAATTGAGAGGATGAGGGAATAACACACACCTGGCCATGGAACAGCTTAGAAGCCAAATTGTACAATTATTTTTGGACTCTTAACAAGTGGGAGGCACATATGCAATCTGTTGTAGTTACAACAGCGTTCACCTGATTTGGATGTGAATACCTTCAAATGATGTATTTATATGTAATGTTAGTTTAATTTCAAATCCATTGTGTTGGTGTATAGAGCCAAAAATGTTAGAATTGTGTCAACGTTTCAATATTTATGGACCTAACTGTACATTCCTGTCATGGCAAAACTGATTTTTGAGTAGTCGTTACTCCAGTTTTCTTTGGTACATGTTTCTCAATCAGCAGATAAAGTTCATCAAATTATCATTAAGGAATAGTTGTGATTGTTATTGATTTTGTGGAAATTGTGATAGATTTGAGCAAAATTCTTTGACCGAAAGAAAACTCAACATTTTATTAGAATTGGACGCTTATTTAACATTATAAATCTCCTTATTCTTATCAAATAAAAGTATTTACAATTATATATATAAAACCAGACACTGCATTTTCCCATTGTTCTATATTTTCATGTATCTGAATTGTAAGCTGGATTTTATCTGCACAGGTCTGAATCATTTTGACCTCTCGGAATTATAAAACATATCCCAGTAGGAAGCACTTGACCTCTCAGTATTAGAAGACCTCTTACCTTGTTCTCTAGACGTCCAATCAGCTCAGCCAGTCGATTGATCTGTGCCTCAAGTCCTTCTTTTCTCACCTCCACAGCCCCTGACGGAGACACAGAGGAACAGTGCATAATTTGCAGATAGTTTCAATCATGTTTTACTCTTCTAGGCACCTGAAACCTCATCTCAGAGCGGCTGTCATAGCAATGCGACAGGGCGAATCAAACATTCAGACTTTATTACTGAACCCAAGCTTTTACGAAGATTTTAATGGACGTTTACATGTTTTTGCCAGCTGCTTTTATTTTTTATACATTCAATCAGTTCAAACCTGAAGAAATGATGGTGAGTAGAAGAAAAGCATCATGTAAAATGTGCGAAAGGCAAACAAATAACCCCCCACATCGTCAATACTTGCTCAAGGATTTATTAAATTTGATGTTTCTGACCATCATCAGACATAAATACACACATTGAAAATAGCAGTAAATTAAATAAAACAATATTGAATGTGTCATTCAACTATCATAGTCACCAGCGATCTAATCCTGGCAGATCACTGGTAGACATGCAGATGGCCACAGAACTGCAAATTCGGCATTATATGGACTACAGATCCAGTCATGCACCGCTCACATGCACCTGTTCCAGATTTCGCTGATTGCACACACACACAAATGCACAAAGTCGGAGGATCGTTACGGACTGATTATAAGGACTATTTATTCAACACACACAAATCAATGCTTAGTCCTGTTGAGCTTTATTGTGGACATAACGACGCAGTTTTCTTGCCTTGTTGTGTTGGACCCTTGTCTTGTTTTATTGTTTTTTTCTGTCTGCCACCTGCCTTTTGACTATCTGCCTGTTTACTGACCAAGACTCTGGATTTCCCGTATACATCTGTTTATTTCTGTATTGACTATTGCTTGCCTGACCATTCTGTTGAATAAATCTTGCATTTGAATCCACACTCTGTTGTCCAGCATCCAATCATATAACATCAACAAGCAATCGTGACTTCCAACACAAAACTCTATTCATCCATCACGATAAAATAATAAATCCTAAATGATCCCGATCAAATTATTTATAACATTAAAGTAAATAATGCTTCATTATTTAATCCTCCAACGTTTGTAAATAAAACAACACATTTCTCTCATGACAACTCTTGGAGATTTTGTATAGTTATGAATATGTATATGGCAATGTTGATGTGTTTGGTCTTGGCAGCATAGATCTGCTATGCTGCTGCTGCTTTGATTGTAATGGCAGCGCAAGTACAGACACTTGCTACTGCGAGTATATTCACAGACATGCTGTCTGAGGGTATAACACACTGCTGCTGCAAACAATATATATTTGTTTCCACCGCATAGAAGATCTAAACACAGGTGGAGCTGGGGTGGAGGAGGGTCTCCAAAAACAAGCTGCAACATAACAGAATGACACTGAGCATTTACAATGCAAGTTTGCAAGCTCACTGGCTGTCGAGGCGGCAACAACTCATCTCCTGTGTAATAGTTAATGACATAAGAGCAGATTAGGTGATCTATCAGCCTGCACGTTTATAGGGCTTCATAAAGAACTTTGCATTAAATTGAATAATGCTACATAATTTAATCCCAAAGGTGTTAAAGTTTGTGAAATCCCAATCTAGAACAAATCACACCTAAATAAAACCAATTACAAATAAATTAAATAATGTTTCATAAAGTAATCCCAAAGATGTTAATGTTCATAAAGTTATTATGCATTTAAGGGTTTTTTTTAGGAGGGACTAAAGACAAGAAGTACTAAAGAGAACTATCATGGAGTTTTGTACATGTACCATAGTATTACCAACTAATGACCATGACTGTACTATGGTACTGTGAATAATGAATACACAGTGTTTACACATTGTTTTTCACAGAAAAACAAAAATGGAGAACGATTAACATGATTTCCACTCTTGCTTTCTTTCTTTTATGCAATGACAGATCCTATTAATGAGGAAAAAAGCTTTTCCTGCCTTTGAAATCAGCCCCACTTGAGGTGCCAAACCAATTAGGCTCTTACACCTCCCTTGTGTTGATGAGGCCAGTATAATGGGGAGGGGAGACACTTTGGAACACATTAACTGTTACCATAGCAATAGCAAGACCAAGTGATCAGAATCCTTTTAAAGGTTTAGTAAGATGGTCACTGAATCAATATGATACAGTATCTGAAACCCGCTTTAATTTTTAGCCATACTGCAGCTTAACATCAGATTAGTCGACACTGACAATGTCAGTAAAACTGTTGTCAAATAATTTGGCCATCGAGTAGTCTTTTGATCCAATGTGACCTTTTTTATGAGCCTGCAATGACATTGTTTGACTGGTGTGGCGCTGTGTTGCAATTATCCTCCTGAATGTAATGCAGTAGAAGAAGATACAATGATTACGGCTGTGTGCAAAACCTGAAAAGTCAACTTTTTAAGGATGCATCCCAAGGCATAAAGGCATATATGTATCCTAATAAAGCATCACTTCATGCATCTTTGTATCTAACTAATTATTAAAAGCAGCATGTATGCATTCTTTGCTGTCATTGATTTCCCACAATCCTGTGCACAGGGGCGCCGCTGGACGCAGATGAAAGTGAAGAGGGGGTGGGGGGAATCTTGCTTGGTGGTCATTTTGTAGTTAAATGTACATTTTGACCAACTTTTTTAATAACAATATTAATAATAATAATTTATTGGTGGTCTCACTAACACCACTTCCAGCAACAACCTAGCTTTACCATGTGGTCTCCCATTCAGGTACTGACCAGGCACAGCCCTATACTTACTGTAGCTTCAGTGGGCGACTATTGATGTGTCTGCAACAGTATCTCATCTAGATAAAATCTAGATGAGATACTGTTGCAGACACATCAATAGTATGTGATTTACTACTTGTTATTGCACCAAATAAACATGAATGAACATCAGAAGCTATGTTGAAAGCAACAGTACAACCACAGAAGAATTTCAATTAGACAGCTTAAAAACAACATGTCAGTTAAACCGTTCAGTGATTATAAACTTGACAGTTAGCTAGGACAAATGAAGAAATATGCAATTACACATGTATGTATTAATTCAATGCACATATTTTAAATATTTAAGAAACTATAAATCTATTATTCATTCATTCATTTTCTTTTCGGCTTGGTCCTTTTATTAATCTGGGGTCACCACAGCGGAATGAACCGTCAACTTATCCAGTATATGTTTTACGTAGCAGGTGCCCTTCCAGCTGCAACACATCTCTGGGAAACATCCATACACAGTTATTCACACTCATACAATACGGAAAATTTTGCCTACCCATTTCACCTGTACCGCATGTCTTTGGACTGTGAGGGAAACCGGAGCACCAGAAGGGAAACCCACGCAAAGAGCACATGCAAACTCCACACAGAAATGCCAACTGACCCAGCCATGGCTTAAAGCAGCGACCTTCTTGATGTGAGGCGACAACACAACCTACTGCGCCACTGCGTTGCTTAGATCAATTATTTAATATAAATTAAAAAAAAAAGTTATTATCCACCTTATTCTGCAGATTTCACCATAAAACCAGGATAGAAAAAAATGCTAGAAGCTAAAAAGTACTACACATGAACACTCTTGTGTAGAGATATACAGGACAAGTGTTCAAATTGCATGTCTCCATTATTTTCATATGAACAATCTAGTAATGAACATTTATCATATTTAGCGCTCATAAAAACTAGAATGTATGAAGATAATCTTCTTGCTTATGAGACTGTCATGTTGATTAGCTTGGGCGCTTCAGCCACCACATACTGACTTGAAAACAACATCAGTTCAGGCTTCAGTCTGGACCGAGCTGAGCTGAGCCCAAACCATTCCCTGACCAGCTGCTAACTGCTGATGTAGTGCTGCCAAATGTATGCCATGGCAATATGCTATCCATGCAAAAACTAAAAAGTTACGAAGTCTAGGCTAAATTTAAACTACAAACCACAACACCCCTTTAAGAAATATCTCAGCGAAGCAAAAAAAAAAAAAAAAAAAGGCTAAATTATGTGAAAAAAAACAAACTAACTTCTCTAGTATATTCAATATTGCTGATAATGATTCTTAGTATTTATTTGCAATTATAATCAACATTATTATACAGTTATTGCAAAAAAGTATCAGTATCTTGTCAAAATAAATGTATATTTTTAAATAATGTAAGTATTCAGGACTGACAATCCAAAAAATGCTCCAACAGCTATCAATTTTACAACAAGGTTTCATTCGTTTATGTTTTGCATTTACTAACATAAACCAATAATAAACTTTAGTTGTACAGCAATTATTATTCATACTTCAACATTTAATAATGCAATAATAAAATCCAAATTCATGCTTATTACTATTAGTTAATGCAGAGACAACATGAAGTAACAATGAACAACTGTATTTACATTAACTGATATTAACAAAGATTAATAAACACTGTAATGAATGTATTGTTCCTTGTTTGTTCATGTTAGTAAATGCATTCACTAACATGAACTAATGCAACCTTATTGTAAAGCGTTAAACAATAAATCTTTCAATAATTCTTGAAATAAAAATGAAGACAGAAATAAAGAATCACAGTGGATATTATGAATCTGATGATAAAGCACTGAGCTTGTGTGTATGCTTGTGGAACATGCTATTTGAGAAAAGCCTCTGACTGACTGATGGGAGAAAAAAGTGCCATGTGCAAAGCAAGTCTTGCAGAAGTATTGATCAATCTTCTCATCCTGGTGCTCATAAACTATAGCCTGGACAGCATGCTCCAATCCCGACTCTCCCCGCGCTAGCTGACAGCTAGAATGGTGTTTTTATTGTGAGCCGAGTCAGCTTTATCTGTGTCTTGGGGAAATTTAAATCTAGTGCCAGTGTTTGAACGTCACCCATAAAACAGATCTCTTCGATTCAGCACTGTGGTTGTCACTCGAAGAATATCAGCATATTAAGCAAGTTAACTTTACAAAAAAACAAAAAAACAAACGAAGACAATTGAGAAGTATATTAATAAATATCAATAATGAGAGTTCAAATCAATGAGATTTTGTTATAGC